CCTGCTGGCCAGATTGGCAGTTGGAGCCATTAGTGTAACTTGTTTGTGGGCTACTTGGGAAAGGTTTCCATTTAAGGGCTGTAAGCAGCCTTGGTTTTGGGCAATTCGCCCTGACCGGATGCCGTCATCCGTGCCCAGACACAGCTCGGTCCGTCAGACTGAGTTCTCATCAAAGATCACAATGGTCAAGAGAAGTGTGTTAGGGTGCATCCACATAGCCAGGGGTGGATATAGGGCTTAAGGGCTGTAAGCAGCCTTGGTTTTGGGCAATTCGCCTGACCAGACGCCGTCATCCATGCCCAGACACGGCTCGGTCCGTCACACTGAGTTCTCATCAAAGATCACAATGGTCAAGAGAAGTGTGTTAGGATGCATCCACATAGCAGATGCATCCAGATACTATGCAAATTGAATATCTTTTATTTTGAAACTATTTTGAAATACCTTATTTTTAAATTTGGCACATCTACACAGCGCCAAATTTCAAAATAACACGCTATTTTGAGCCATCCCTTCTCCCTCATGAAATGAGGTTTACCGGATTGGCGAAATAGCGCACCTGTTATAGTGAAAAATATTTCTAAATAACTGGCAGCTTGTGTAGACACGGGTTAGCTATTTCAGAATACCTCCGTTATCCCAAAATAGCCGTGCAATGTAGACATACCCTTAGTTAGCAAGATTCAGAGGTAGCAGGATGCAGGTAAAGCAGGTTCATGTTTTTAAGTAAAAAAAAAAATTGTTTAAAGAAGGACTGCAGAAATGTTTCAATTGTGATTGTTTGAAAATGAAATATTTCAAAGACATTTCAATTTTTGTTTGGTCATGAAAAACTGCAAATGAAACAAAATGTTCCTTTTGAAGGCATTCAAGAAATATATTTACCCTTTTTTAAAAACCAGATTCACAGGGCAGTAGGAATGAATAGGTTGGTCTGAGTGCACATACACAGGCTGCATGAGAGGGACATCAAGACTAACTGCCAGCATGGTAGGATGTATCATAACTGCTATAGTCCCTTCCAATATCAGGTTCCCAAATGGTCCAATGGCTGATATTGTAGATGCAGCCCTATATACGAGCACAGCAAATACAGGCAGTCCCTGGGTTACGTACAAGATAGGGACTGTAGGTTTGTTCTACCGAGACACTGCACAGATTTGGTATGGCAATGGGTGGAGAGTAATTCCCATTCTGTATTCAAGGCTTAGCTTTACGTCCTTTGGAGCTTGGAATGTGAATTTCTGAAGGAGGATGGTGAAGAACAGGAACAGCTCTGTTCTAGCCAGCTGCTCACCAAGGCAACCCCGCTTTCCTGAAAAGAAAACAGTTGTGCACATCAGCCAAAGGTTCTTGTCAGAACAGTTTAGGTCTCATGACAAATGAGGTGTTAATTTTCCATGGCAGCAATTTCAGAACTGTGGGGAAGAAGAGATGGATTTATCATCAGTCCCCACCCCTTCTGATTCACCATTTGGTGGTTTTATTACTAAAATTTCCTTTATTCATAACAGTGGATGCTAAGATTTGCATTCATTACATCAGTACTTCGGTAATTCCTTCTTATAATAGAAACAATGATGTTTGATAACTCTTGGAAGATCAACCACATCTCTGCAAGGCCATTGAAGGCCTGATCCACAGTTTAACTCTGCCATTACACTACTGCCTAAGGGTATGTCTACACTACCCCCCTAGTTCGAACTAGGGGGGGTAATGTAGTCATACGGAGTTGCAAATGAAGCCCGGGATTTGAATTTCCCGGGCTTCATTTGCATAAAGCCGGCCGGCGCCATTTTTAAATGCCGGCTAGTTCGGACCCCGTGCCGCGCGGCTACACTCGGCACGGACTAGCTAGTTCGGATTAGGCTTCCTATCTGAACTAGCTGTACGCCTCGTGGGTGGCCCGGACTCTTAGTTTATAGATAAACTGCATAAAAAGAGAAAAAGTATTTTATTCTTTACTTAACCACACACACACAAAGACTGCTAATACTGCATGTTTTTAAGTTGCAGGAAAGTATTGATAGACCTGTGTATAAACAAGACTTGTGTAAAACTGTCGAATCCCTGCTGCACACAGTTTTGTTTGTGAAATCTTTTTTCTTTCTTTAAATTTGGAATATAGTATCAGGTGAAAATAGGAGCACGTCTAAACTACATTCCTCTTTCGATAGAGGAATGTAAATGAGCCTGATCGAGAGTGCAAATGAAACGGAATTTTAAAAATCCTGCGCTTCACTTGCATAATGAATTCTGAGTGCTTTTTTGAGAAAGGGTTTTTCAAAAGTGATAACACTGTCTAGACAGGGTTCTTTTGAAAAAAACCTTTTTTGAAAAAGCGCTTGGTACTCATTATGCAAATGAAGTGCAGGATATTTAAATCCCCGCTTCATTTGCACTTTGATCTGGCTCATTTATATTTCTTTTTCGGAGAGGAATGTACTTTAGACGTGCTCTAGCTGTTTCTCAAAAAAGACACAGAACCACCAGTTTTAATGTATATTCAGGTGAAAATCCATATTTGAATGAAAGTTTGATTTTCAGAACCTTTTTTATGCTCTTGATGATGTGGGCAAAACACAAAAATCTACATCTACACAGGTGCATCTACGCAGGAGGGCTTAAATCAAAATAAGCGATGCAAATAGAGCTACATCTATTGCATAGCTTATTTCAAAATACCTTATTTCGATGAGTGTCTACACAGCACTTATTTCAAAATAGAGCACTCTTCCTCTGACTTCCCTTACTCCTTGTACAGTGAGTGTCACAGGACTTAGAGTAAGCAGTCTCCAGCTTGAAAGTATTTCAACATTATTTTGAAATAATTGCCTTCTATGTAGACACGGACTAAGTTATTTCAAAATAACGCTAGTTATTTCAAAATAATGTTGCTGTGTAAATGTACCCTAACTGGCAAGCCTTTTGAGCAAGAATCAGAGAGAAGTCTAATCTACAAAGTTTGGCTTTAAAGCTGAACTTCCCCAAAAAGATGTGAGGCTATAATGACAGAGTCAAGTCTATGCCATCAGAGAAAAATGGGCTAGCTGTAAAGTTTGTATCCTAAATCAAACTGGGTTTAGGGGTTGATACTCCAGTAGTATTAAAATGACATTCATGGGAGGATGCAAACTGATTCTCCTCTGTTTTCTTTCTTCATTTTCACAGATATTTAAAGCCAGAAGAGACCATCAGGTGTATCTATCTCCTGCCTATAACAGGCCATAGAATGTCACCCAGAGATTGCTGCATCATTCCCACCAATTTGGGATGATCATAGAGCACAGCATTTTGAAATCCTCCAGGTTTGATTTAGGACCCGATCCTGTGCCCAATTAAGTTAATGCTAAAGTTCTATTGACTTAAGCAGTGTGCGATCAGGTCCTTAATGAATCAAAGTGATGGAAAATCCATCACATCTTATAGTAAAATATTCTAATGGTTTGTTGTTTTTTAGGAGGGTGCCTCAGGAATCTCCAACATTTTTATCATCTTCCTCTTCCAATAAGTGAAAAAGAATAGTGAAAGATGAGGAAGGCAAGTCTTGTCCTCACTCTGACGTTCCCAATAAGTGAGGTAGGCTACTTCCTCTTTCTACTACTTTTGGTTATGTCTACACTATAATTTCTTTGCTGCTATTGTTATGTCTAGCCCAGTTTTAGGAGAGAGCACTTTTCAACAATGACCTGTCCTTTACCTTTCAAAAGAACTGTGCAAGCTGGACAGGGACAGAAACGCTTCTCATAATTTTCATTTTTGAGCTTTCCGTTTTCCATAGAGACTAAGGCTATGTCTAGACTTCACTGCTTTCCTAAGGAATGTGTCTGCTTTTTCAGAAAATGTTTCTCTTTCGCCATCCCTGTAAACTTCATTTTATGAGGAATAAGGGATGTGTCGAAAGAGCACTGTCTACACTGGCCACGAGTATTTGCGCAAGAACACTGACTTTGTACTGTACAAAATCAGTGCTTCTTGCACAAATATTCCGACGCTCCCACTCAAGGATAAGCCCTCTTGCGCAAGTACTCTTGCGCAAGAGGGCCAGTGTAGACAGCCATGTTAATTTCTGGCGCAAGAAAACCCGATGGCTAAAATGGCCATCAGAGCTTTCTTGCGCAAGAGAGTGTCTATATTGGCACGGATGCTTTTGGGTAAAAGCATCCGTGCCAGTGTAGATGCTCTTTTCCGCAAATACTTTTAACGGAAAAAACTTTTCCATTAAAAGTATTTGCGGAAAATCATGCCAGTCTAGATGCAGCCTGTGGGTTTTTGCCTAACATGAAAAAGGAGAGAGCCCAAGACTTGGTTCTATAATGCTAATGGATAGTATCATACACATCTTACCTGCAGAGAATGGGAGGAAAGTGTCTCTCTTCTTGAATTGACCGTTCTCCAGAAAATGCTTAGGATTAAAAGTATGAGGGGTTTCCCACTCATTCTTGTCAAACAGCACTGATGTTAAATTGAAAATTAAAACAGTACCCTAAAAAAAGAGAACAAAAGGAATTTACACCTATTCTATTTTTAATTGTGACCTAAAAGAGGTGAAAAAAGAGGCACCATGTTGTTTCTTTTTAATCTTTGAATATATATTCAAAAGAGCCAACAGGATTTTTTAAAGAATAATTTTCTACCCAGTTCTTTATATTATATTCATCTCGAATCTCAGATCTGACTTTCCTTGGTTTTGCTGGTAATCTCTGGGGGAGCCAGAATGAACAGAATGGGAGTAATCTTCGAAGACAGAAAACATTCTTCCAACTGTTTAAGCATTTGAGTTAAACAGGTGTTAATATCACATCAGAACAAAGAACACAGACAATAGTCGACTAAAAATCACTTCCTAACTCAACTTAGCAGGTTTGTTTCCTTCATAGGTGCAATACTATGGACCTACTAGTTCTCCTGCATCTCCTAGGAAAAACAGAGTAGGCAAGATTGAATTTCTTAAATAAAAACCAATACAAACGATAAACTCTCAGGTATCCTTTATACAACATAAAGAGTCAAAAAGAAGCAAAACCTACCCACCCACGTTTCTTTTTAAGAGCCAAATTTTCATGGATGTGGTGGATGTTGGTCTTGTATGACAGATATACATGTACAAAACAGCAAAGGGCAACCTAGGCTAGTTAGTGGGACACACGGAAAGGCCTCCTTCATCTCAGTGGACTGCAAAGTTGTTGTAACCAAGATGGTCTCTTGGGATAGGTCTCTTGTTAACTGCACTGGTTTACCTAAAATTTGTGGGGTGTTGTGGCGGGAGCCACCCTCACCCCATCCTATCCTCCCCGAGGTTAAAGCAGAGCCCCCCCCGAACTCACAGGCTCTGAGGCCTGGTCTGGGGGGTTTAAAGCAGGCCCCGAGGCCTAGTCTAGTAGCCACAACAGGCCCTGAGGCCTAGCCTCGTAGTCACCGCAGGCCCCGAGGCCTAGTCCAGCATCCGCAACAGGTCCTGAGGCATAGTCCACGCCCCGAGGGATTGGGGTAGGGGGGTCCGGGCCCTCCCTCTCCACCGGACCCCAACCCAGGGCCCTAATGGTGGTGGGTAGTTCCCACCACTGGCTCAGCGGGGGGTCCTCCCCGAAACACGCTGAGCCCACTGGGGTTTTCCCTGCCCCTTGCCCTGGGTTGCTTCCTACCCCAGCCTTGTGCGCGACGGAGGTCCCACCTGGCGATGCTGGGTTGGCGGCGGCGGCCACGTCAGCTGGTCCCGTCTCTGGGGCAGCAGCGCAGGGGGTGTCTCCTGCAGCGGGGGGGCGGCCCCCCGGCATCGGCATTGGGGGCGTGCTCACCCCGGGGCTGGTAGTAGCAATAGTGGCGGTCCCTCCGGCTCTGAATCTGGCGGCAGGGCCGGCGGGGG